ATAAATATATAAATTATAAATAGGTGGGGAGGTGTGTGAATTGGGGCTGTGGGGGAAGCACCGCCTTGGCCTCATGAACGTGTTTAATCCTTCCCTTTTCCTGAGTGTCATCCACTGCTCCCCTTCAGCTTCATTTTTATTTGCAGCCTTTTACGCCTGATTAACTTCGTGTAGGATTTCGTGTTGCCCTGGATCTGTTTGCTCTTGCTGCCAGCCAGACGCGGAGTCCCTCTGCATGTAAATGAACGGATCTGGCAGTTCTCTTTGTCACAGCACCTGCTAGGAGGAAGCAGCTCCCCTCCAAGTCCCTGCAGTAAAACTCTCTAGCTGGACTCTCCCAGGAGCAGAGACGATGTTTACTCGCCAGCTACATGAGAATTTCCCTATCAGACTGCTAGACCGCCGTAATGGTTGCAATTCTCTTCTAACCATACAAATGCCAGCAAGCAGGAGGTTAAGCTCTAGTCTTCTGCCTTCTCCTCAGGTGGGATCTCTTAACGTGAAATGCCTCTGTACGCCGTGTCACACTTCTGGACACATCTGTTATTATGTGACCAAGCCAAACAGCTCCGAGCCGCCTGCTGTCTTTACAGGTGAGGAGGCGGGAGGTTGCCGTGCCGGCCGTCCGTGTTGTAAGGGAAGGAGCTGCTGCTCTGCCTGTGCGCTCCGGACTCTGGGTGCTCGTTCCTCCCTGACTGCCAGAGCCGCTGGTTAACGTCCTCCTCGTGCCCCCTCACCCAGTGCTACCAAGTGGTAACTGCAGGTGAAACCCCTCTGGGTTTGTAAACTGTTGCTGGACACCCTGCAAGCAACATCAGGAGCGAGCCCCGGATGAGTCACAGAATCCCAGCATGGCAGGGGTTGGCAGGGCCCTCTGTGGGTCACCCAGTCCTCTGTGGGTCACCCAGCCCAACCCCCTGCCCAAGCAGGGTCACCCAGAGCAGGCTAGCACCGCGGCCAGGCGGGGCTGGAATATCTCCAGAGAAGGAGACTCCACAGCCTCCCTGGGCAGCCTGTTCCAGTGCTAGAGTCCTGCATCTGGCGTTTTGTTCCTTCAAACGAGAGCTGTTCCCTTACTGTCTCAGGCCAAACGGTGGCTGATTCCAAAACCTGCTGCTTTTCCGTGTCTCTGTCCTCGTGTCTGTAACAAAACGGAGAGAAGAGAGAACAGGGGAGTATGAGAGGGCTGGCGCTCCATCTCTGGTAGCCAGGTTCTGGATCCCATTCTGGAGAGCAGGGTTCCCCTGCCCTGAGACTGCGCCCGCTCTCCCCGGCCTGCCACGTCGTCCCGCTCCCGACGGGCGTTCTCCGGAGCGTGCACCAGCTGATGCGGGGGAGCAGTAACGGCTTAAGATTAAGATTTTAGGGGGCACCGGGGAGAAAATGCAGACTCAGCTTTGTTCAGCTTCGTAGCAAAGAGAACAAGCGATCCTGGTCCACGCTAGAAGGGACGGGAGGGGACAGCAGGCTGCCCACGGGTGGGGAAGCGCCAGCGTGGTTTGTCGGCCAGGCTGTGGCGTTCCCTGCGTCGTCAGAAGCTGCGTTTGCCGCGTGGGTTTACGTAGCACTGAGCCCAGCCTGGCTCCCCCGTGCCTCCTGCTGAGCTGCAGCGAGGACAGCCATGGTGGGACTGCGCCCTCGGGGACCGCGGGTCGGTGTCCCCAGCCTCGTCCGGTCCTGACGCCGTGTCAACGCCTCCCTTGCAGGTGACACGCTGTTCGTGGCCGGCTGCGGGAAATTCTTCGAGGGAACCCCGGAGGAGATGTACAGAGCGCTGATTGAGATTCTGGGCGGCCTGGACCCCAAAACGGTACGAACCTCTCCGTCTGCGCGGGAGTGAGCCGGCCAGGAGCTCCTAGAGACATCAAAGAAACCGGCTGCCTACTAATACTGCCCTTCAAAGCGAGGATTTCTCGTGTGTTGAAGGAGTGGATGCTTACCTCGGGAGCTGTCTTTGATGCTGGAGTCCTCTGGGAAGGAAAATACCGACCCCAAATACGTTTGTGCTTTGGGGGGAAAGAG